GGGATCGCTCGCCAAATTTAAGGGTCGGTGCAACCTCGTTGGCCATCTCGTTTGCGCAAGCACCGGTTGACGAAGTTGTGCGGGTAACCATTTTCTCTGAACACCCGTCGATCAAAAGCCAACAGGACTACCAGCCCTCAGTGTTGGGCTCTGACTTATCTTCTCAGGTTTTGCGACAGCTGGGATTACATATGACGGGCTAACGACGGCTAATAAGCCAACAATCCTCCGATCAAATCAAAATCGTACTAGCTTAGTACGTTGATGAGCTTATTTTTGTAGTTCTAATAAACAAAGATGAGTAAAAATTGGTTTATAGTGGACGCAGTAGGCCAACCGGTGCATATATCAGAAAATTTACAGGCGAATGGAGAACAGAAAAAAATGGCGGCTCAATTTTAAAAGCCCATTAGTTATAAAATGAGTGTAATTGAATATATGTGTGTGTGTGTGTGCTTCGTGAACCCGCTTATGTAGCCTGTGAATTGGATCAGCTGCATGTTAATGTGAAGTGCATCACCATGGCAACACTAAGCATGCAAAAGCCAAACGCCTTGGTAACCCGCGGAACATGTAAAAGCGCAGGTCGCGTTTCGAAAATATTACTTGAATTTTTACGCTGTTCAAGGCCGGATCTCGAACGCTTTTCAATGTTCGATTTTGTGGCGAATGAACTTCTTCGAAACTATTAACGCGAATTTTTTTAATCCTTTTTTGACTATCCAACAGACAAATATGCGCATGGTGTTTTCTTTGTGTGTCAGCACTGGTTTGGAAAACGTTTTTTCAGATATTTGATACTTTCTAGTTTCTTTACCTCGTAAACAGCACGCATGTTCCTGGTGACCTGTACTGCGTGTTATCCTCTATTAAGTTCGAATAAAAGACGGTGCGGGAAATGTCCCTCTTGCCGACCTGACATTTCGTTTTCTTTGAACTGTAAATAATAGGGGAAAATGGATCCTAAAAGCGCTTGGCTAGAGGAATAATATGACTTATGATATAAATAAATGAATAAATAAAT